AGACAATCAAACATGAAGTAAACGGTATCTGCTTCGGATAGATGTATCGACGTGTCTGGGTATGTTTTTCCAATCTCTTTTTCTTTTTACTTCCTCTCGTTTTTGGTTTCGTCGATCATCACCTTTGGAGTTATATGAATTTTTATCTTCATTTTGTAGGTGCATTATCCCGAATGAGAAAAAGACTAGTGGGCTGATAGATGCGCCGTTGGTTTTGAATCAGGTATAGCATTTCCAGACTTGCTTGCTAGATAAAAGTACTTTTGTTTCTTTTTTAGCTCACTTGCAATGGTGTTCTGGAAGGAATTCGTATTTGTCGCAAAGGTTTTCCGAACCGAATGACCTTTGCCGATTTTCGCTTCCGCTACGCTATATTGGCAGCCGATCAGGCAGCTGAGAATGATCCAGCTGAGGTGGCGGTTCATACATCTGTAGATAATCTAAAAATAACAACCCAATTTTTAGGCATCGAAAAAAATGCTCGAAAGACTTGTCAACGAAAACAAGATTGTAGAGGATAAATTCAGAGTTGGCACGACCAAGGTGAACCCCTAAATTCAGACGAAATTTCACGTTAAATGAATACATCTAGGTGTTTTTCCGTGCTGGTGTCGTTGCCAAAATGGAAGAACTACGTGACGCGGCTTTGGCAAAAATCATTGTCAAATTCCAAAGTGCGCTGCGATGCTATCTGGCTCAGGTTGGTGCATTGCAAGCGAGATCCTTCAGAGAATTTTTGGGTTCTCAGGTGTAAATCTTACGATTTCTTGTGACGGATTAATTGGTAATTTGTGTAAAGGTGTCGGATTTTGGCCGCATGAGGAGATATACGTGGTGGAACTGCAGTAGTTTTTTTACTTGCAAAATTAGCAACTTTTTTGTGGAGAAAAGGAAGGCAAGAAAAGTGCTAAGGAAACGGCTCAAGTTACGCTTTTATCTCTTTGTTATTTGCACCTGAGCAAAACATATCCACCAGTAGCTCGGACCAGCTTTCACTTTCTTTTTTGTTTGTTTTCGGTGTGAAGAACGTGAGATCCAAGCACACGCACTCGCGCATCTCTTCAACTTCTCGTTGTTATCGATTGTAGTATCTTTTGATTATCTACATTATCAATACTTGGTCGCGAAAAAGACGGAGGGAATTTTTGACGAATGTATATTTTTTGGACAGTGCAATAATATGATTTTTTTAGTGTCACTACCAAGATTTACTGAAACAACAAGCAGCTTATCTAATAATACAAGAGAACGT